CCAACCATTATTAACTACAGAGATGTCAACCATTCTTGTTCTGGCAAAATCATTCTGATTTTTAACCCCAAATTATGTCGTTTTGATCATACCCTAGCTACATGATAACTATAAAGTAAACTAAAGGTAAAAATAACAAAGAGCATCTACCATAACTTCAGATGTTGCAGAGATGTAATTCTGAATATACTACTCATTAGCCTTTCATTAAATCATTCATAATACGTAAACCATGCATTTGTATACTTTACTTCATGGGAATTCAGCATTGCTTATGGTAGGAAGATTAATGCAGAAATTAAATCATTCCTATCTTTCTGCTCTGATTCTAGATTTTTTAGGCTTGCATCCCTATTGTACATTAACTAAGCTTGCAACTTTTAAGATGTAAATCTGACTTGCATGCTCAAAAGCACTAAAGATGACTTTTCAACACATGTTCTGTGACATATAGGCTTCAAACTCAAGGAACAATTCCCCCAACCATTGTTTTTCATTATGGCAAAGCAACAAGTTGTCAAGTGATGGTGCTTAATGCCATTGCAATTTGTCAGGGTTATAAGCCTATGATTCTTTACAGTAGATATCTGTGACTTGTTGCCAATAAATTTCAATGATAAACAAACAGTACACAGTTCGCTTGTTTTAAAATAATATCTTAAAACAAGTCAAACATGCATACAAATTTTCGTTACACAGTTCATTACCACAGTTGAATCCAGAGCTTTAAATAACTCACTCTTTCTTCAAAAGTTCACGCAGGATGGTTATTTTAGAACCCAATTGATAAGACAAATTTTTCTTCTCTACTCTGTTATTAAAATACAATCTGTGATTTATTACACTTTAAAAGTTGTCACTATTCACTCATTATGGCAAAACTCTCAATCGCCCAGTCTATAATTATCTCTTTTTTCCTTTAATAACTTACTTGCACTAAATTAGTCGCCTATATACATATTGCCCAACTGAGACCTTGAACTTTCTACAAACTATGAGATGTTATGATGTAACAATACTTACTTAAAGCAATGAGAAAATACAGAAGGTTTGAGGAGTAACATGACATCAATTCACAACAAATGATTTGTAAACAATATAATTAAGCAAACTTGTCATAACTATTGCTCCTAAAAATAACTTACTTTAATGCTCACACAATATAAAGTAAATAATACTCTCATACTAAACTTAAAATGAACTGTTGTATGTATATCTAACACAATTCCATCATTTTTATCATATGTATTATATCAAATAAATAAGATTCCTTGGTGGTAAATCCTAATAATTCTGAAAAACATTAGGAAATCTTATAACATCTTCATTTTGACATATTAATATATAAAAGAGACTTCACAGTTAATCTATTACATGCATTTCTTGATACATTTTTCATTGCAAATCAACAGGTATTCTCATTTGAGCTAAATAGGTAGAAGGCTGAAAGATTTTTGTTTTCTAGGAAACAATTTAAACTTATTGGAAAATTGACAAAAATTTGGTTCATATTTAAGACATAAATTTCATCAAGTAGTAGTAGTATACATTTGATTAGCTGAGTGCAGTATGTTTTATTCATTTCTCAGTCCATAATCTATAAATTGTATTATAATTTGATCAAACAGTGCCACCTGGTGGGCAGCCTGATGTTGGAGATTTCATACAAGATCATCTGGATAAAGCAGACAATGATCCCAATGCCCCACCATTTGATGACCTGCGAAACTATGCTTATGAAGGGAGTGGAAGCACAGCAGGATCACTCAGCTCTTTGGCTTCAGGAACTGATGATAATGAGCAAGACTTTGACTACCTTAATGGATGGGGCCCCCGATTTTCCAAACTTGCTGATATGTATGGTCAAGGCGAAAGTGAAGAAGACTAGTCAGTCATCACTACACACTTACCTTGTTGCTGGCCATACCTCTACTAAATCATTCCATTGGATGTGTTCTTTCCCTTTAGGACCAGTGACAGATTCACATGGGAAGAGTTTCTTCCACCTAGAGACAGTGTGACCTTAAAATTGTTGTAGTAACCCTTTAACACAGTGTGTGTATGTATGTGTAAGAGCATGTTCTTTTATAGTCAATATTTTGTGCGTATTCTTTGACTGGCAAAATTGATGTCATATGGAATATTTATCATATTTCGCTGTGTTTAGAAGCTTTTGTCTACTTGACTTGTAATTCATAGTGCTTGGTTGTTGTCAAAAGACTTACACTAATGGTGATGGGTATTATTTTCAGTCAGATTTGTTGTAGTTATATTGTATTTTAAAGAGTCAGTTTTTATTGGGCTTTTATGGTTTGATATAGATATTAAGAGGTTTTTACAGCATAAGCATTTTTTTTTGTGATAGTTAATAATGCTCGAATCTCAGTCAGACCCTGGTCTGGAGTGTATTTTAGACACATAATGTGTATGGAAGAATAGAGAGGTCACATTTTAATGAAACTTGAAAGAGTAGTAGTGTAAAGTAAGAATTTCTAGGCATGTTGTGTAAGTCTTGTTACTCGCTCATTGGTTCTAAAGGGAAGTTCAAGGAGCAACTGATCTATCTTCTGCCTGCTCAACACTGTTTGGTTATCTTTTTGAGGATAATCTTTAGCTTGTATAATAATGTATTTGTTGTCATGTGTTTGTATTTCTGACTGATCATTAGCATTTATACAATCATTGCTTTTAGCAATTAGAAATACTTAAAGTAGTTTTCTGCTTGAATAGAATCATCTTCTCTCTTTTTTTGTTGAATCACTTAGAATGGACCAACAAGACCCTTGTAATGGCACCATTAGGCATTTACATGAAGATAGGTATTAAGAAAGGATAGAGCTTGATATCAACTACATCATATACAAGGTTGAACAAGAGTGACTTATGAACACAGTTTTATTTAGATGCATTCCAAACGAAACAAAAAAAAAAAGTTAAATGAAAGATATATTTACATAAAGGTGTCACGATTTGGTGCTTGGTTGTCTTCTACATGCTGTGACTGTTATTGTGCTTATCATCTCATGCATGGTTGTCTTGTTTCTGAAATATGTAATCTCAATTTTAATAGTATTTATCATAGATAGCACCACATTACGTTTAGTTTGTCCTTCATTGTAAAATTACAAGTCCAGGAGCAAAGCATTTGATCCAGTTGTTGTACGATTAAGTTATAGCATATCTTAATTAAGTTTGCCTACAGCTAGCACCTGTGGAAGAAGGCACCATCCTATATAGTTTATCTAACCTTGTCTTATCTTCACTGAAATTGAAATTAGCACCATAAAGATGGCTACTGGGAAGCTAAACACTACAGCTCAAACTGCCACATCTCATTAACACCAACTTTTTAAGTGGTTTATGTGGTACAGTACATGACCAAGACCTCTCTCTATAAATAAGATGAAAGATCTTATGTAGTTATCCTTGTATGAAATAGAAATCGGTGGATCCTATTTGTTAAGTAGCCTTTCCTCAGGAGGAATCAAGAGCTAAAGATGTGTATTTGTATTTCTGTAAGCATTAGAAAAAAAAAAGTCCTCAATATTAGTGATATTTGTGCATTTTCATTGTTTGTTCATATTTTTTTAAGTTCATAAGTGAATTTTAAAATGATTTTCATTTTTTTAATATTGTTTTTGTATTGTACACCAAAGTGCTGTGCACTTGCCTCTCATTGACTTTAAAGTTGCACATGGAAGTTAGGCAGGATATTGTGTTCTGTAGGAGTGTGGATTAAATGAGGTTTCTGTTTCTATATACATATAGAAAGAGAGAAAATTTCATGGTAATGTAACAGCTGACATTAACATCATTTGGAGTCTGTATGTTTTAACTTTGTTGTTGTTGGCCATCCATGAAATTTGTTAAATCACACTGTTTTTGACTGACAGGTATCACAAATTCAAAGTGACTAATTCAGTAAAAAATAGGTAAAGCATGTTTTTTTTTTTTGTATGGAGTAAGTTATGACTATGTGTTAATAATTTTACTACTTGCATTATAGTAACAGAAAGAGTAATAAAAAGTGCCTGCTCAGTTACACAGTATGCCACACTTGTTCAGAACACTAGTCTAACACCATCCCTGCCTTGAAGCGAAATCCTGCCACACTGGGCTTTTTTCTTATTTTTTCAAACAAACAAATGTCACTGTATAAGAAATTAAAATCAGATTTGTTTCTCAAACGTATAGTATTCTGATTCATGTGGTTTAATGTATTCCATTGTGTTCCAAGTATTAGAACTGACTTGTGACATTTTTCATCATTTTATGTCATTGTCGTTTTATATCATGACTTTATTGTAGCCAAAAGTATCTTTCAAGGCAGTTTGTTTGATTCAGAACAAATAAATGATATATAGATCCAGCATGTAGTGTGAATTTTCTTTAAGGAAGCACATGTTACACTTTCCAGATTAACTTAGGACACAGTTTTGGTTTTTTTCTAAATATAAAACTTGCCTTCAGTCTGTTAGTATCAATCAGCTTGTGTATGTAACTATGATTTGTAAGACTATTAATTGTGATATAAATTTGAAAACAACTGTGCTGCTTTTGAGACTTTCCTTTTTATTCCATTTCTTTTATCTAGTGATTCTAGTAATATCTCTTCACTAAAATTTCAGAAGATGATAGATACACATTATGAATGTTAAATCCAAATGAATTATATATTTATTACATAGAATTTCAAATATGTCTTTGTCCAACGTATTATGTTTTTAGGTGATAGGTCTGATTCTAAAGTTCACTAAGACTACAGATTACAAAGTTTCAGCAACAATGAGGTCTTCATACTTGTACCCTATTTAAACAGTAAAATGTGTATAATTTCATGAAATTTCACAGTTCTGTGGGTGCTTTTGAAGTACATTTTATTTTGTTTGAGATATTACATATTAAACTTAGTTTTATCACAAAAACGTGCAACAACTACTGAATTGCACTAAATCTTTAACTCAAACCATATAGTTGAAATAAAACTGTCTTCTTCCGTATCATTTCAGTCGCTTTTCTTATTATTAATTGTGTGTTTTGATCATAAATGTTTTATGACTCGGATGAAAACAAAAATTAATTTTGGTTTTGATAAAAGGGAATTACCAACTGAACTTTCCTAGGACTTCTGATCTATTTTGATTAATTAACTTTTTGATCAGAAGAAAAATATTGTATTAAAGGAAAGATTAATTGTATATAACTACCATTCTTACAGCTAAGATGAGTTTTATAAATGTCTCCAAACACTGGTTACACCTTTGTGTATTATTAACTTTCCTTGAAATTGTGATTTATCAACATATTCAGTATTGTTATTGTATTTGTTATAAGTCCAGCAACATTTTTAAAGACACTGGCATTTTCCACCCAATATAATCTACAAATAGTTTTCAGTACATTTTATCACGTATACAAAATAAGAGATATTAGCACTAAGACATTGATTATCTTACAACTTTAAAAGCTTTTGATATCTTGATATTTCACTTAATGATAAAGTATGTAATTTAAGAAAATGGGGGTTATGATAGTTTAAACTTGTTTGTAATACAACAAAAACAATTAAGTCCACCAAAAAATCATGTAAAGATTTTCTTCGTGTACAATTTTTTCATGTACCTGGAATTAAAAAAGCACACACACACACACAGAGTAAAATAATTCTTTGCCAATAAATACCATCAAACAACTTAATTTTCTTCGTAAATATTATTAAATAAAATGCAAGCTACAAACATGTATCCAATGTTTGCTGCTAAAATCAATATGTTCATTCCAATCTGATTTGTCAACATCGTGGTTTTATTAATCTCAAAGAGAAAATATTTTTTTGTATAACTTGGATGTGATCTTATGTATCCAAGTTTTTTTGATGATTTTACCTTTATGATAATATGAAATTTGTCTGAAATTTCATGTTGGGAACTATGTCTGTAATGCACTGTTAAGCAGCTTTCCAACTTGTATAGGTATGAAAACAAAGCACCAGCTTGAAAATGCTTGACACACTGCCCATTTTAATATCTGTATGAAGATATACATTCAAAATAAGATGACCCAACACATTCAGAAGTCATTCCTAAAAGTTAATATATGAATTATATTGTTTCACTAAATTAAATGATTTTAATGAGATGCTATACAAAGGAACTTAAAAAGGGCATTGTTCCACGACAAAGTGGACAAGTCTAACTCGCGTGTAGTAATAGATCAAGATGTGTTAGTCGAGCCTTTATACAATACGTGACTTTGTTAACTTTGGTTCAACTTTCACTGAATCAAAATTAATATTTAAGGTATTTTTAAGAACCCACAAATGAAAGGAAAATAGAAGATGCTATGTCAACCACGCTATATTTGTCATATCCAGTGTTGACGAGACCTTCCCCCTAATATTATAACTCGTCTGGCTAGATAGGATACGACCAACATAATGGCTCAGGCGCTATATATGTAGTCATAGTGTGAACAAGATTAACCACGTGAAAAGTAATGACTATAATTTTTATTTGAATTAGTTACAAATCATTTAGCTAGCTATAATGGATGCATTAATGTGCCTTACACCATTGGGTTTCCAAACATTGTCAGAACAATTTGTTTGTTTGTAGTTAAACGCAAAACTACACAATTGGATATTGTGCTGTGCCTCCTATGAATATCTAAACCAGTTTTTTTTTAGCGTTGACTAGCCGCTGTGTCACTGGAGGCTTCTCAGCACAATATTCCGCATATTGACTGAGGGCCCTCAACCTTATGAATCTATAGATACTGAGTATCTTAACAGCAATGTGTATTTGGTATAACCCTCTGCTTTAAGTGGCTGCATGAAACGTTATAACAAAAGTCAAAACATGCTCTGGGTATACAAACTTAAAACACAAGTCTAGAAACGTTTTTAGGCAAGCCCGTACCTGGCAAAACTGAGAGAGAAAATACGAATTAATTTAAAACATGGAATATGATTTCCATAGAAATGAGGGGAAATATTACTTTATTGAATTTGTACAGTGTAATGTCTAACTATAAAATACCATGGTTTCTATCTCTGTCAGTTTTTACATTTGGAGTTTTACAGCTTTTACTATACACTAGTAATTCATCGTGAATGAAAGACATTAGTAAAAACGTGGAAGAAAGATTATCTGCAAAGAAACTGGATGAAAAAGATATGCACGAAGACTATGTTGAAACAGTAGCTCTTTTCGTACCTTACATAGATTAAGGTGTATTCATTTTAGTTGAACTTACTTAAACGGCAACACCTTTTATAGAAAACGTGAGGCCAAACTAAATTGTTTCTCTTAGTATAATCAAGGGCATTCCTATTAAAAATACTTCTTTATCTAGCAGCTGAGCAAATTAATGTTCAGAAGACACTGGACCATCATTTTACTGAGCAGAACATAAGTATATGATACATTTAATTCAAACCTGTATATTTTGTTGAGAAAGAAAGGGGTCTTGGAAGAACAGCATGGACTGTAATTAGTATTGAAGCACTACCATAGGCAATTAATGGAAACAGTTCATCGTGATAATAATGAGCTATTTAACTAAATGGCCTGCAGAAAATTATATTGTAAAGTAAAGCAATAAAATGTTGGGCTGTGGATCAGAAGGTCAATTGTTCAAGCCATGATATGCTGCTGGGCATACTATTCACATTCAACTGTGGATGTTTTATAACTGACAACCAATCCCACTTTTCGGTTAAGAATATCTATGTACGCAGTGGATGCTGCCGACTGATTGCCTTCACTTTGGTCAGTAGTTCTTAATTAAGAATGACTTTGTCTGAACTTTGGGGTCTCTGACCTAACATGATTTGGAGCACCTGGAGAAATCCACATGGACCAAGGAGCTTGGTCTGGTAGTTAGGACACTTGACTCGCAATTTGTGAGTCTGAAACTCGAAACTTTCACTTGATATACTCGCCCTTTCCACGATGGCGGCGTTATAATGTGACGATCAATCCCACTATTCGTTAGCACTGGGTGGTGTTGAGTTGTCTTCCCTGTGGTCTATCTCTTCAAAACTAGGGACAGCTAGCACAGATATCCCTCAAGTATCTTTCCGCGAAATTTCAACAAACAAACTAAGAAGCTACTTTCAATAGTCAGTTGTTTGCCGAGTTGTGTGGGGTGATGAATGTAGCGAAGATGCACACTTCACCCTGTCTCCCCCAGTTTGTTAAAAATAAGAATGTTTCAGAATTTATTATGCTTGACCAAACTGATTGGGACAAACATCTACTATATTGTCATGTAGGGATAACGTGCAACAGAGCAAAACAGATAATGTTTGGTCGAAAAATAGTTTCTAGCGAATATTGTGTATAGTCTAACCTCACCTTCTTCATTTTGAACATCTCGAACAATAATATAGGAACACATGGATCACCAGCTACTGGTAAAGAAACTTCTGAATCTAATATCCCTATTAATAACCCTAATAATCGCATTAGTCTTATCACAGAAAATCAAAGAACACTAGCCAATTACAATATAATGTTTTAAACAGATAACTGACTGATGTCAAAATCTAAATTGTTGCCCTACAAACAATTCTGTTAAAAGATCCGAAGTTCTTTCTAACATTAACGAATTCGCTTGAAAATTATAGCTCGGCGGACTATTTCACAGCTCCCCAGTGGTACAGCGGTATGTCTGCGAACTTACAATGCTAAAAACCAGGTTTCGATATCCGTGTTGGGCAGAGCACATATAACCCATTGTGTAGCTTTGAGCTTAACTTCAAAAACCAACTCTTTCACAATAAATCTAATTTTTCTTATTTCTAACCCACATTCACCTTCAAAGAGAAATATTCTTAAAACTCCTTCGACAAACAGAAAATCAGATTTAGAGAGATAAGATAAGGCTACTAGAAAAAAGTCCCCCAGCGGCTCAGCTCAAAATTAGGTTTCCATACCCGTGGTGAGCACATTACAGATAGTCTATTGAGTAGTTTTGCGATTCATAATAAATCAACGGGAAAAAAATGAAATTATCCAAGCTTTTAATTCATCAAAACATACTTATAACCTCAACCCGAAAAAAAACAAAAAAACACTTCCCTCAAGAACCTTAAATTGTCACAAATATTATAATCAAACCTACTAATAGGGTTGTGCCATTGTTATTCTTACCATCAACTTCATCACATCAATTTCTACAAAAAAAAACAAAAAAAAAACTACTACATGATCTTAAAATGCAGTTCAAAAATACGGTCAATGACAAACTTAAAAAATTCCTTCAAACTAATCGTATTGATAGACACGCATTTCAATACTTAAAACACAAACAGGCTTTTCTCTCCAAACCGAACAAATTAACAACTACACATTTCAATACTTGAAACACAAACAGGCATACCCATAGATATCTTATCTGAATTGCACAATGATAATTAGTCAGGTCGTTTCGTCAATTATAATACAAACATTGTAACTGATAAGTTATCTGTTTATGTAGACCAGGACATAAAACACATCCCCACTACACTTACTTCTTATATGAAAGACATCTTATCAATACCATTGAGGACATTAATGGTAGAGAACCACTGCCTCCCAGCAGGATTCTTTTGAACTATGAACGTTTTCATCCTTTATACTAATATTCCACCTGATGACATGCTTGAGTTGACTTGAGCTTGAATATCTTTAAATTAAACAACGAGCTTTACATTCAGACTAAGAATAATGCCGTGGGTACCGAGATCACTTTTAATTATACTAAGATATTTATTGGTGATATTGAATGATGACAGATCTTAAAAAAATCAATTAAAAACTTTTTTGGACTGCTGTTACTGAATCTTTTAAAAATTATTTTCGTACCCTATCTTCCACAAAACTAATAAAACACACACACATACATATTCTTTAACGATGTCACAATGTCTTCATTACTAAAGTTGCCACCCAGCCCCACTAAATGAAATATTACTTGTAATCAACAAACCATACGCATCAAGAAAACGTGTATTGACGAAAACAGTTACAAACTTTCATACAAAGAAGATATAAACAGTCTAAAATTGATAAACGAATACAAAATGCCAGCAACATTCAACAAGAAACAGTCTAACAATAAAATATTTAACAGTTCTTTTATAATTACATACCACTCAAAATTCAAGAACATTTCATGGTCTCTTATACAAAATTTCCAGCTACTAAAACGTGATTAACGTTTACAACAAATTTTATCTCAAATTCCTATTGTTTTCTTTAAATAAAAATCGAAAGCTATTCTGGTATATGCTAACAACTCCAGGACCTGGCATGATCAGGTGGTTAGGGCGCTCGACTCGTAATCTGAGGGTCGCGGTTTCGAATCCCCATCCCACCAAACATGCACGCCTTTTCAGCCATGGGGAGTTATAAAGAGACCGTCAATCCCACTATTAGTTGGTAAAAGAGTTGGCGGTGGGTGGTGATTATTAGCTGCCTTCTCTCTAGTCTTGTACTGCTAAATTAAGGACGCTAGCGCAGATAGCCCTCGTGTAACTTTGCGCGAAATTCAAAAACAAACAATTCCAGAAAGATCGTGCAAGTTCATGAAAGCTACAAACATTTCTTCTGGGAGAGCGGTAAGTCTATGGATTTAGAACGATTCCCTCGCTGGATACAGCAGATAGCTTGATATGTCTTTGCTATACAAGCACACACACAGAGTTAAAACGTAAACTTCTACGTTCAAGTTTTTAATTATTATCTTTATCTAATAGTCTTACTTACAGTAATAACATATATAAATATATATATAATATTTTGTTTACTCCCTATTTTAAATTTTTTGTTATTTTTTTCTCTATTCTTTCTATATGGTGGATTTTATGAAAATTATTTCATTTTTTAAAATTCTCTTTCACTTAAGTTTGGTTAGGTTATTTTACAGCAAAGCCAAGAAATCGAACTCCGAATTTTAGCATTGTAAATCCGTAGACTTAAGGCTGTTCTACCATGAAACTTTTACTTAGGAACGTTGCAAGTTTATCTTTCATTTTGTAATATTTCACATTTTTGGTCTCATTTTATATTGAGT